TTTTCTATCCTAACCTTTTTCTTTTCCTTAAATTAGGCAAGCGAGTTAGCGTGGTTTTTGGATTTGTAGTTTTTTGCCAGTTTTTAATTTTTCAAATAAAAATGTGAACCAAATTTCACCCCAGATGACAAAATACATTTATTTAATATAATTTTTAATGGTTGTGGAAAAAAGTTGGAGGACAAAAGAACCAGCATTTCAGTCACAGAAAATAAAAACAGTGGTTAGAACCGTTTTCGTTATTTTGTAACGGTTGGAACCGTTTTCGTTATTTTGACCCAAACATCTCTACTCTAATGTCATTTGTCGTTTATGCCTTGCGTCAAAAGTTCATTTTCATTTCGATTGTCAACGAATAAGTTGATTTAAATTTTTAATTATCCGATGTACTAAATAAATTTTATCTATCGTATAGGCCGTCTGATTTTGTAAGGTAAGTTTGAATACCGATATATTGTTGAAAATGTATATTTTCTACAAAGATTTCTTAATTAAAATGTCAAATTTTAAACATACACGAGTAACACATGATAAAACGTTTTATATAATTTTATCTATTATTTTGTTAGGAAAGAGATATTATGCTTTACTATATTTAAATATGTTAAATAAGACTTTTCCTTTTCATATTAATTTTAGTCTGTGAAACTATTCACTTAATAGTTTATCTGTTTCCTATGCAAATCTCCTAGTTCCTTTCTTGATATTTTTACCTTTTCCTTGTAGCCTGGCTGTATCTAGACGGTTTAGAAGTTTAGTTCAAGCTGTATCGAAGAAGTTCATTTCAAGTCATATCTTAGAAGTTTAATTCAAGATATATCTAAACTGTTTATGGTGATTTCTATCAAGAAGTTTGTTTCAAGCTATATCAAGAGGTTTGGTTCGAGTTACATCTAAAGAAGCTTCTGGAGATTTAATTTTATGAAGATTTATACCTAGGAGTTTGGTGCTATCCGAAGAGTATCGTTCGAGTCCCTTTGAAGAAGGCCTATTTTTAATAAATCATCTAAATTTTAATAAGTAAATCTCTGTGAATTAGAATTTGTTGCTACCTTATCTAAAACTTTGTTTAATTATAATATCTTAATGGTTAGTGATTTTCTATATTTTTATCACTAATCGATAGTCAAGTTTAGTAAGTTTTAAATATAGTAGTGCCCAACATTCTTTTTCAAAGTAATACGAGTTCTTTAATAACCTATTACAAAATACAACATTTAAAAGTTGAAACTGTTGTACGAAAATAAAAAAGACCTATGAAGAAAAATGGAAGAAGAAAGAAGCAGAAGTTTATGACTGGTGGTGGTACAATACCGCAAGTAAAACTTGATCCAAAAGAAGAAATGTTATCTGTAAAAAAAAATATGTTTTTGGCTTACCACAGGAGTTTGATTCAGTCGCCATAAAAAACAAGTTTTGTAGATGATAATTCTGAATTAAATGAAGTAAGGACGTAATTTAAATTATATTATGAACTAAATACTGGTTTGATAAAATAAAGTTGTTTCACTTAAGTGTCTGCCTTTTTTACAGTATAATACCAATAATCCAAACACATGAATAGAATAGGTGAGACAAGCACAAAACCATGGACATTAAAGAAAACATAGAAAGTGCTGCCACAATATTCAATATTAAACACATGCACACGATCAAATAGATGACCTACAATCAGTGAAGTAAGGACATACTTTTATTTATATATACATAAAGTAAAAATACGTTTGATAAAACTGACAGTTGAATCACTAAATGTCTTCAGTTTTGTTTTTGATTTCTTCAGTATGGTACCAACGAAAATGAAGATCCTGATCTAAGCTCTACCCAAAATATGAATGGCACAAAATTGATCGGAAAACATGATCAAATTGGAAAATTGATCGAAAATACATTTTATCGAAAATATATTTTATCGAAAATATATTTTATCTAAAATATATTTTATCTAAAATATTCACACCATGCAAACGTCCGTTTAATCCCTATTACCGGGGATATTAAACTCAGCGAATAATAGTCAAATTAGGTACTATGGTAAAAATTTTCGATAATCTCATTATACCTTTTTATAACACTGAAAGTTTTCTTATCTGCATCTACACTGAAATCTTTATTCTGTTGTTGTAAATTGCCAATATTTTGGTCACGAGCCACCACTGAACTCAAAGGGTTTCTTTAAAATTATCGGCCAACTCATTATAAACAAAAGATATTGTTGCAGAATAATAAATAATTATGAAAATTGTGAATTTAATATATCCTAGATCGCAAATATAAATCCGAAAAGTCAGAAATATCTGAAATTTCAAATTATTCTAATAGATAATTATCATCCAAAAGCACTGACACAAGTCGCATTGGAAAAACTTGCAAACGGTGATAATTTGTGTTACTCAGACTAGAGAAGATTCTAATGCCGAATATACTTATAATTTGTCCAATGGAACCTCTACATTAGACATGATTGCGATGCCGACCCAACATTAATATTGATGATGTCATTTCTAATAATAAAAAGAAATATTTTCCGATTCCGGCTAACATCTAGTTCGTCTTTAAGTATTGAAAATAAGGAAGTAGATGATGGAAGAAAACATGACGATTTGATAGAGATGCGGCCATCATCAGATCACGTTACGGAATTTGTTCTTGATCAAAACACGATCAGCCCTCTTTGGTCTTCGCAAGTTTTCAGTTTTCCGAAACAACTAGAATTCACAATACTGATATCGACCCAAATGATATTTATGTAATATATAATTACAGTCGAGAGATTTTCAAAAATACGACAATTCTAATATACGTGAAAGTTCCGAAATTGACAAACTGTTCAAGGTTCTACCACTTGAAAAAAATTTGAAAGCTAAATTTTTCCCCATCAAGGAAACTTTCAATTAATGAAAGTATACTAGACTTTAAAGGCAGATGAGATTTAAAGGCAGATGGGATTTAAAGGCAGATCATCACTAAAGAAATATATGCCAATTATCAAGAGAGACATGAGAAAATGTTTCCTAATTAAAAACCTATTATCCAGTTGAAATTTAGAAATGGTCTTGCTAATGCATTAATTTACTCTTATTCTTGCCGGAGACGCCCAGTGCCACAAAAAAAATACATCTTATGATACAGGACACCTTCCTGTAAAAGAAACATACTGTCGTTGTTCGGGTTGCAGTAAGAAGAAAAACAAACCCGCTTCAATATTATTTGTAAGAAATGAAATATTGCCTAATGCAAATCATGTTTCGAACCTTTCCATTTAAAGTAGGGAAAAAAGTGGGTAAATGACAATACAAAAAAGTGAAATTAATACCGAAACAATTTACTACAACATTGGCAGCTTTTTGATAAGGGTTGAAGTAGCCTCAATTTTAAATACTGCGTGTTAAGTTTCTTCTATAATAAACCAACTGGTATGCCTGATGTGATATTGCTAGGTGTGTATTACATAGTAAAAAAATAAGTTGACCAGACATATGTTCATGGAAAAAGAACATACAACGTCATAATTATCAATATTATACAGGGTATTCCTAAATGTCGTGTCACTATTGCTTTTTTTAAGGCACATGGTGTTGAAAACATCAATTAGGTCTCCCTCGGTACGCCACTGGACAATAGTTTTAATCTTATCAGGTTTTGTCCTTTTAATACTAAAAACTTGCCACGATTAATCAAAATTGCCAAAAGAGTGTTTTAAATATTAAAGAAAAAGCAATAGCTTTAATTTCAACACCATGTATCTTTAAAAAAAGGAATTCACACATTTATAGTTAGGAAATAGTAGCCATTAAACAGGCAAAGAAATTACGTCCTTCAATATTGACATGTCATTTTGGAATACCCTGTATAATATATAGTATTTAGAAATAACATCAATTGTATCTATTTTTAATTTACAAAGTATGTTAATGATATATTGTATCTTTCTTAAAGATGACTTGGGATTCATCTTCTGGGATAATTGTTCTGACTTGCTAGAAGGCCTCAGATGGTCAGTATTATTTTCCAGAACTGGATAACATTAAAATAAAAAAAATGGTGGATAACTGTAAAGCTGTTGCAGATTATATAAAAACAATTGACTCTGCTATATGGAAAAAATCGGTCGCCACTTTAAATAAAGCAAAGCACTGTGCTAAAAAGGGGGAAATACGCTCAGCGATTGAGTCTCTAGAGTCTCAAAGCAGCGACGAGAAAGAGTTATCAAATATTTTTTTCCACAATGACTCACCAACTTCCTCAAAATTCAGACCATGCTGAGATGGAAAATGAACCATAGAATGACAAAGTTACCGAAAGGCAAGAAAATGAGAAAAAATATATAAAATGTTTAAGGAGTTAAAGGAACAGCAGAAAGAAATTTTAACTGCTGTTGGGAATATAAAAAGAATCCTAAAAAGTTAGTAATTTTACAAAAAATAATAATTGGGGTAATTTTTTGTAAATTGCGGAACTATTAAAATAGATAACAATGGAGATAACTTTGTGAAAATTAGGGAAATTTTTAAAAGGCGGGTTAATTTAAAAAAATAAGGTATAATTTTGTCAAAAAATTGAAAGAATTCTGTTAATAATAATTATTTATTTTTTTAATTTAAATAATAACCACTTTTCACTCTTTGAATATAGTAAAAAAATCATAACATTAACGTTTTGCTTCAAGACATAAGCTCAATCTATATAACTATCTATATCATTGACTCTTTCAAATCACCAGGCGACAGTGTTGCCATGTCAAACCTCACTGATAGCTACTTTCTTTGGAATGCCTTAATATATTCCTTAGACATTTCCAATAAGTTATGACATATACTCGTATGTATAGACGAATATTATAACGATCAATCCTTTTCACATTAACATTCTTGATAAAAATTTATGTAATGCGTTTTAAAAATATAATACGCAATTATTAAATCTGGTAAATCGGACAGAATTCTTGTTTCAATTTTTATTTAACAAAATTTTAATAATTTAGAAAATAATAATAAACAATGACACGATCGTTGAGTCCTGATGAGGTAAATGAGTTAGAAGTGGAATACGATATCGATTTCTATATAGTTCTGCTGAAGTAAGTCTCTTTTTTTATATATATTTCTTCATAATATTATACATGATCCAGAAATTATTCATATTGAAAAAATTTCACGAAAAATACATAACAAATATTTCTTTGATAATCAATGAAAATATCTAAATTTAATGGATCAATTTTTTTAATAACCACATTTAAATAGTTTCTTGATGACTTTTTTTTACAAATTTCTAAAAAATTATACAATATTTATGTCTCTTTGAAAAAGGGAAATTTCTTTATTATATTAAAAAATAAATTAACTTAGAGTAAAATTATTTTGAATACATCATCATCATCATAACATAAAAATCAAAATAATCAACATATTAATTGGTAAAAAAATATAATATTTTTTGTTTATACATACAGGAAAAATAAAAAATATAGTTTAAATTACTTTTGTTAATTTAAATTTTAAAATTATTATTAATAATAATAATTGAACTTTTAGGTCTCTATCGGCATTCAAATTTCCTCCCTCAATGAAGATCACCTTTGATCAGACTATGAAGCCGTGCCTCAATAAAAAACTATTGAGGCACATGAGGGAGGAATATGGATTGACCCACTACCGAGAATTTCATCTGGGTCGGTCAGGAGACTACGTCACCTACGTACTTGTAATGGGCACTTCGTCCATACCAGTGGGGTCAAAATTATATGGGCATTTCGGGTTGGACTTTCAAAATTATCTTTAGATTCAAAAACTTTAAATCATGGCCTCCCCACTGGTTACTACGAAACAAGTGAACACGTACGTCTGTTCGCAGAGGACGCGGATATAGTATTACACGAGCTGGACGACTTCATCAAAGGAGAACGGGAACGGGCTGACCCGTCCAATAATTTCGCAAACGAATTTTTACCAACGCTTTTAAAAATTTATGATGAAAAAATATAGTTAAAATTCGTATGATGAATTTTCTAAATAATCACAACCTTACTTCTCGTTTCCAAGTTTGCTTTCCAATCCATAAAAAATGCAATTGGTCATAATTGATTGATTTTGTTGCCGCTATTGCTGCGTACCGACGTATTTTGGAACATAAATAACATACCTTTTAATTGTTTAAATCATAATACATTTTTGGAAAAATATAATTTTAGAAAAACTGCCATAAATTGACTTGTGTGTAAGGGGGTGGAGGGTGACCATCAACTCCCCCGAATGAAAAAACAGAACACCAATAAAAAATCAACAAGTTCATTTATAATTATATAAATAATATTAAAAACTCATATTACATTTTAGGATTTTTAAAATTATATTTTTTTGGCAAAGAATTGTTTTATTTCTTTTTTTGTAAGCATGTGTATAGGTATATAATTTTAACAAATGACTTCATATCTTGAGTTAGTTACTACCCTAATATTTTATTAATTAAAAATTGATGCGATATTAACCTTCCCCCTCTCTTCCTCTCGTTCAATATTATATATTTAAAAAAAAATGTTATTGATATCAGACAATGAAAGTAAGTTCTTGGAAATCCATATTGATGATTCTAATTTAAAATTTGATAATCACGTAAATATATTTGTTATTTATAAAATACACTTTTTCAACTACAAAAAACGAGTATTTTTCAATATTTGACTCACATTTAAAATATGTTTGTTTTAGAAGTTCGTATTCTTTAAAATTAATAAATAGAGCATTTGTTTTCAAAAAAAAAGCTGGTCACTATTTATGTAAAGTTTCTGCAAAGACCTTCCTCATAACAGACTTACTTACCTCTCTATTATTCATGTCATAAAAATTTTCAAAGTAACATATTTATTTATATATTTTTGAAGTGGTTGCTTGCATTAAAAAAATACCAGATTTACTTATTATATACCATTGCCAATACTAACCTATAACCTCTTCATATTTATTGCGATCGTTATTATGTAATCTAATGGGAAAACCTTTTTCCTCACCTGCCATTAAAATTATTAAAACAGACTTAAAATGATGAGAAAATTTAAATATGTCTACTAACTGAAAAAACTTACTATAACCTTGCAGAGTTCTTTAATGACTCATTTAAACTAATTTATTTTATTTAATATTACACATATTAAATTGTTACCTCATTTTCTATTTTTTTTTTTTGACAATAAATGTCTAACTGAATATTTTATTTTATACCTTTTATTATGTACCTCTATTTTATTTGTACTGTTATTCTAAAAGATTCTCTTCGACAATAAAGCACTTTTTGTAATCTGCCTGTCTATCTCAGATATATTTTTAAAATTTTTAACATTTTCAGAGCTAAACACGGAATTATTGCGACGGCGGACGTCGTCATATCTACCTTATATGATATAATCGCCGGCGACGTCCACGTTAAGCTCGTTCAACTACATTTCGGCTGCGTCGTGGGACATGACACTACCAATAATTACAAACGCGACACAAGCACGAAAAACTATGTTTAAATATGCTAAAGAAATACAATATTACCGTTGCTATAACTCAATGGTTCCGACACATATGACGGCCCAATTGCCATTCGGACAGGCCGAAAAAATTGCGTTTATTTTCAGTCGTATAATCCGTCTTTTCACGCAATTAAATGAATGGTTTCGGCGAATCTCACCTTGTATTATATTTTTGGTCAATACAAATATTGCAATAATTATATAAAACACAAGGTGGGCTTAAAAGAATATTACATTCGAAATATTTGGCATTTTTTAAATTTAATTAAAAATAAACTCTCACTAAGATTAGAAATTGTTAGAAATTACAGCGATTTAGAAGACGGATTAAACGCTTTAAATAATCGTCACGGGGAGCGGGACCATTTATTCAATATTTTTAGAGATAATTCGTTACGTTTCAATTAAATTGGGCGGATCGCATAGGATCAACTATAGAAAGTTATATTGAACACTTTCAAAATCAGTTGGTTCTATGGAAATAAACCCATTTAATTGGAGCCGTTACCGAAATGTACGACGCGGAAAATAAAATTAAATACTTTTTAAAAGGGGTTACTAGAAATTTAGATTACCATCGTTTGTCAAAATTATTAGGGGGAAGACCACTGAGCAGCAGCGAAGATAATAATGACCAACAAATACTGACATACAACGACAATATTCAGGCGGACATCATCAAATTCGACAAACTCCCTTTTTCAGACCAATCCCATTGAGTTGGTTCAAAGACTATTCCAAAATTTTCCTACAATGTTGCGACAAATACGACATACAACTTTAGTCTATTTAAAAGCAGTAGCTCGTATGTGTACCTTACTACAATAGGGACCACGTACGAAAACATGGACAAGACCAGATACGCATGACTTAGGAAAAAGACACATAACATATCTTTAAAGATACAGAAGACGAAATTTTAGTGAGCGTGACTGGAGAATGACAAGACCAACTGACCCGAAATGTGTTTGGGCTGCACTTTCCAGTCCAACTCATTCCGGATTGCAGATGTTCCTATCCGGAGTCAAAGACAATAAACATTTTAGCCTTCCATATCTTAAAAGGTACGTTTACACAAAAATTGACTACTTCCCGGCCTACTTAATAACGAAACATTTACGCAACATAAAAATCGGTTAGAATACTACGTCACGTACGTGCTTGTAATGGACACATCGTCCATACCAGTGGGTTCAAAATCATATTTTCTAAATCAGAAATTTCGGGCAGGACTTTCAAAATGATATTTTTATTCAAAAACTATAAATCATGGCCTCCATACTGGTTGCTACGAAACAAGACAACACTTGCGTCTGTTCGCAGAGGACGCAAATATAGTACTCCACGAGCTGGACGATTTTATCAAAGGGAACGGCGTCCAATAATAATATTATTAATATTTGAACTTGTAGGTCTCTATCAGCATTCAAAATTGCTCCCTCAATGAAGATCACCTTCGACCAGACTACGAAGCCATGTTTCAATAAAAAACTATTGAGGAACATGAGGGAGGATTATGGATTAACCCATTACCGGGCATTCCATCTGGGTGGGTTAGGAGGCTACGTCACGTACGTGCTTGTAATGAACACATCGTCCATACGTTTCCCCTCCTGCTGGTAAGTTAAGGATTTATCGTTTAAATTAAATAAATCATGTTGGTCACTTGCATAAGCATTGGCGTAGTCAATACTAATATAGGAAGAACTCACTAACTGATTGCTCATCATTTTCAAACTTTTCCCCAAATTAGTCTGAAACTAGTATCTTTTGAATATCTAAATGGCGTCGATAGGGCCTATAAAACAGTTTAACTCAAATGAGTCCGATATATCATCGTATTTGGAGCGGTTTGAGTAATTATGTATCTGTAATTGTGTTGTGAAATGAAAGAAAATAACCTTAATGTTAACTTTAATTGGCAGTGAAGAGTACAGTGTGTTGAAAGATTTACTAGCCTCAAGTCTGCCTAACTCCATTTTATTAAAAAACGAAAACAGATGGAGTCTTTTGGAAAAGAAAATCGACGAAATTCATAAAATCTCAGAAGTATTTACCATATTTAAGCCAGATCTATTGCAGAAATCATTAAGGGAAATGGAACAGAATATATTTAATATTTCTTCAATCTTCTTAAATAATACCGAAGAGACAATAAAAATAAATGTACAGAACACTTCAGCCCCAGAAATTAAAATGGGGATCGAAAGCTTGGAAAAAAAACTAACAAATGTTTCAAGCCTAGTTCAGGAGTTAAACTCCAAAATTGTGTCAAATAAACAAAATAACCTACAAAAAGACAATCTATCTACACCACATCGTCTTCTACGCAAACCATAACGACTCCTGAAGCCATAACGACTCCTGAAGCGTCCAATACCTTAGAAGATTCTAAAGCTCCAGTCTGTAGTCTTAATCAAAAGTGGCATTACGTAGTAGTTAGCAATCTTTCTTCAGGCTCTACTCTAAATCACGTTGTGCATTACATCAAGGAAAAATTAGGTTCTAGTGAGTTTATTCGTTGCTACCCCTTGATCAATGAGAATAATGAATCTAAGGAAACAACATTTAAAATAGGGCTGCAGTCAAGAAATTCCGCACAAAAACTATTAAACAACAATATCTGGCCGGCTGCAGTCTCAGTTCAATGGTCAGTCGAATCCTCCGCTCTCCCAAAGGCTTCGACTTCCCCTAAGACATCGACTCCCCCTAAGGCATCGACTCTCCCGATGACATCTACTTCCCCAAAGGCTTCGACTACTCCAAAGGCTTCGACTACTCCAAAGGCTTCGACTCCTCCAAAGGCTTCGACTCCTCCAAAGGCTTTGAGTCCTCCAAAGGCTTCGACTCCCCCTAAGACTTTGACTCCAACGTACACTCCGCAGCAGAAACAGAATAATCACAAAACCCTTGCTGATTTGGATTATTCTTTAAGTAAAAGTATATGCCCAAATCAACCTGAAGTATTGACCATCTCTTCCGACAAACATGCTATCTCAGCTTGTAAATCCAACAACTTCTCCTATGGTAAGTCCTTACAGATCATAGCAGAATCACAAGACAACATAAATAACTCGCTGGACCCGTTGACTCCTCCTAGAGTCCGACTAACAAAAAAATCGTGTATCGGCAATGGTCGTTATTTGATGGCTAGACTAAGAGGACCGGCTATTTTATCGTCCCTCAAGCTCTTCCTCGCCTATCTTCATGACCAACCATCATCTGTCTATCATGAGGGCTACACGAACACAAGTGTAAAAGTGTTTCTAGCCTCTGAGGGACTGCCTGTTGATCCTGGAGCTTTACGGACCATTTATTATGATTATCATGATCTATATGGTATTGGCTCAGCTGAAGTGGATAACGATCTCTCTACCTACAGAGCATATATATCCGCGAAACGAAGAATACACCTGCAGAAGCAAAGGGAGTACAATCATCGTTATTTTACTGCCGATTCACCTAGGAAAAAATTTTAATTAATACGACGTGTCCTGGGGAACTAGAATCCCCAACTAGTCTTACTGGCTATGCCGACAGTAAATTAAGAATGGTTCTAATTAATATTCGATCAATACGGAATAAGACTGATGAATTGTATTTGTTTTTGGAAGAGTTAGGGTTTCCCCAAATAGTTGCTATTACAGAACACTGGTTACAAGTTGGTGAACCAGTTTTTGTCGAAAAATATACTATCGTCAGCAGATATGATAGAAGTAATACAGACCATGGTGGAACTCTAATTTTATCCTTAGACAAGGACTTTTCTGCTGTATCTAAATACGACTTTCTACAAGCTGAAAATTTCTTCGAATTTTCCATTGTAAACAACAAAAACATTGATTTGTTTATTATTTGTATTTATAGAACACCTAAATCAAATGTTCACCTCTTTCTAGAGAATCTTCTTAATCTACTTGACGCATTGCCTATAAAAAGTAAGAAAATTTTATGCGGCTATTTTAATATTGACTTTGCTAATGTATGTGCTACTCAAAAGTCTTTTTATCATTCAGTCTCACTATGCACGTAAATTCTCCAACTAGAATCACAGAAACAACATCTACAATTATAGATTACGTAGTCTCTGATTTTAAACCCGTTGATGTAGAGCACCAAGTAATTAGCTCAGGTCTCTCAGACCACGAAGCAGTATTTGCCAAATTTTTGATACCCCGTACAGCTCCAAAAAAAGTCCGTCAGCTAGGTAGAATTTTCTCTAAGCATAATTTCAAAAATTTCTATAATTTATGTCTAACTACTGATTGGAATGGTCTTTCTGAAGATATTGACTCTAAATTTTTAGACTTCTTAAATAAAATAATTATGTGTTTCAATACAGCTTTCCCCCTTCGCCCCATTAAAACTAAATGTCATAAATCTTGGACAACTAAAGGAATAAGAACATCTATAATAATCCCACTTCATAAAGGTGGCGACAAAACCAAAACCTGTAACTATAGACCTATCGCGTTATTGCCTACCTAATCGAAGATAGTAGAACGGCTAATGAAAAACCGTCTTTTGCCCTTTCTTTTCAAGCATAACATCCTCAGCTCATCAGTATGGCTTTCTACCTAAAAAATGCACTAGCGACGCAATGTTTTCCGTTCTTAATGAAATATACACATCACTTAATGATAAACTTTTCACCGCTTCAGTATTTTGTGACTTCGCAAAGGCCTTCGATTGTGTAAATCATGATATTTTAATTAATAAGTTACAAATTTATGGCATACGGGGTTCTCCTTTACAATGGTTTAAAAATAGAAATCAACAGGTGCGGGCGAATGGTGAGGATTCTACAAATCTAGCAATAAGCAGTGGAGTACCTCAAGGATCAGTATTAGGTCCAATTTTGTTTTTATTATTCATCAATGACATCATAGACTTAAGAATAAGTGGTAGAATTACTTTATTTGCTGATGACACCAGTGTAACCTGGAATAATTCTAACATGCAGACATTACAATCTATCATAAGTGAAGATCTAGTGACTATTAAGTCCTGGTCTGATTCGAATGGACTTTGTTTCAACACCAGTAAAACTGTAGCATTGTCTTACAGAGGTACTTTACAACCTATAACTTTAAACAATAATCTGATCCAAACGGTGACTTCAATCAAGTTTTTAGGTCTTTATATAGACGATTCTCTAAAATGGTCTGCTCATATAGATACCTTAGCAAAAAAATTATCCTCCGCATGTTTTGCCATTAAATCGGTTTCTAAAGAGCTGACTCCTTCTACTGCATTAATAACCTACTTTTCCTTATTAGAATCTCACCTTCGCTATGGTTTACCTTTCTGGGGTTCTTGTAGCTTATACCTTTTCGAATCTATTTTTAAACTGCAAAAAAGAGCAATCCGCTATGTATTTGGTTTAAGTAGTAGGACACATTGCGAAAATTACTTCAAAAATTTCAAAATTCTAACCCTTCCTGCTCTATTTATTTTCGAATCCGTCTGCTTAGTTCGCAAGCACATTCAAAATTTATCCGAAAGACCGACTCGTAGATATCCTACAAGAAATTTAGAGACTGATGTTTATTTAACAATGCCCACTTCTGACCTATTAAAACATTCCATTACCTACAATGCCAAAAAATTGTATAATAACCTTCCGATGCAATTAAAATCTATAAATACATACGATAAGTTCCGAAGACTGGCTAAAGCTTTTCTTCTAGAAAGACCATATTACACAGTAGCAGAATTTTATAACGTACCTTAGACATTTGAGTTCCACATACAATGGCATTAATTAAATAATTAAATATTAAAGTTTAAATTTAAATTTAAAAATTAAATTAGAATAATTATAATGACGGATATTGCATATCCATTGCAATTGTTATTCCTATTTTGTCTGTTTGTTTCTGTTTGTTTTTTCTGCTGTTTAGTTATTTTTATAATATGTTTAGTATTTAAGTTACACGCTTTGTCTATAAAATTTTTGTAAATTTTTTTACGACAATAAAGCATATCTCTCTCTCTCTCTCAAAACGTATGTTGAATTAAAAAGGGAGCTCACAAAACATTATAGCCCACAAAGACTAGTCATAGAGGAGCACTACAAATTCTATTGTGCAATTCAAGAGTCCGAAGACATAAAGATGTTTGTCACTAAATTGAAGAATGTCCAAATACTGCAATGTTGGTACTTTTTTGTCAGAAAGTCTATCAGTTAGATTTTTTGTTTGCAGGGTAAGATCAGGTAAGATTTGTAGCTGTTATCTGAAACAGAACTAACGTTTGAAAACGCATACAAAACAGCCCTGTCAATGAAATTGACTGAAGAGCAGGTCAAGGCACTTTTAACAGAAAGTCATAACCTTGTGTCTGTCATGCCCGTCTCAACCGTCTGTATCTTGTCATGATACTCATTGTAGTTTTGTATTGTCTTTAAGAATTAAACAACTTAAAAAGTCTTGTCTTTGTCTCAGAGAATTCATAAAAGATAGCACACAGGCAGTTGTTCCCACGTATCAGAGGATTACATTGAATTGTAAAAGGGAAAGGGTCTCTAATCAATCATACTCTATAACAAAAGATGGAGAAAAAATATGGGTATGCAATTAATTTTTTAAAAACACTTTTAAC